TGAAAACGATAATATAGCTGCTGACTTAGAATCTTTACTTTATTATGCTTTTTTGGCCTATTCGGCAATTTTTTCAAATTTTTTTTTCTTCAGTTAGTTTTATTATCGAATCCGTTACTTATCTTACTATTCAGACTTAACGAGCGAATATTTAGATATTTCGATCAGTCGTTTCTCTGTTATTTTTCTTCTCACCACCGATGCAGCAAACAAATTCACCATTCTTCTCTAACTTTAGCCTTTTCCAGAGAACACAAAATTCTAATCTTCATTGTTATCTTAGGCAATGGTGGCTAATAAGCGAATGAAAAGTTTTTTGGTAGCCGACGAACTGAATCCGGAGACAGTCGATCGTAGTCCTAACAAATCCGGTTTGATTTTCAATTTGCATTTATGGATTATCTCCGTAAAATGTCTTTTTTTTTCATCGTTTCCTTCTCTCCTCCTTTGCCTCGTTAATTCCATTTATTACTTACTGGCCGCCTTACGGAGAAAAGTCCGTTCCAGGAAAAACTTCTTGAGATTGGTCTTTTATTTTGACAAACAACATTTTAGGCCAGCTTTACAGGAGCGCATGAATTTCGACTTACAAATTTAAATCTTTAAGTTGGATAAATCTTTCCAGGATCGAAAAATGTGATCGAAATACGCGATGCTCGTTTGACTTGGGATGTTCGAGATTTGAATACACCGATATTTGAAGTACTCAATTTTACGATACCAAAACGAGCGCTAGTTGCTGTGGTTGGCAAAGTGGGTTCTGGCAAAAGCACATTAATCTGTGCCATTTTGGGTAAATCAAATCAAATTCGCTTTCGTTGCTTTTTGCATATTTGAGAATTGACAAAAATACTTTACCAGAAAAGCTTTCTTCGTGCAGAAAATATGCTTTTTTCTATTTTTTTTTACCAGTAATTAAGTAAAAGACAAATGTTCGATTAAACTATGTGTACCAGGATCGACCAGGCAATCGGCATGTGTACCCCATTTTCTGAAGCTAATAAATTAATTTAGGCGAAATGGAGAAGCTACAAGGTTATATTGGTGTACGCGGCACTATGGCTGGTGTTGGCCAGCAACCTTGGATCCAGAATCTGACTCTCCGTGATAATATTGTATTTGGTGGAAAATTTGAACGAAAATACTATAACAGAATTCTGGAGGGATGTGCACTGGTCAAGGATTTGGCAACACTTCCACAGGGCGATTCTACTGAAATAGGCGAAAAGGTGGAGTTCCTGGGCAAAATTTTTGAGAGTTTCATCCATGAATGATGAAGATGTTTTAGCCGTTTTCGACCGATTTTGCGAAGCAGGTAAGGTGCGAAGCAAATCTTTGCAGGAATATTCTCTGTGCATGTGCGAGCTAGAGATTTCAAATTCAGCTGTCGCGTACGCTTGTGTAGCGCGTACGATCATGTCAAAGTTCTATCTCGGCCTGATGTATTTCTAGAAACTTCCAAACAAATAATTCCTGTACACCCTGTTTGGGCTACGGCCGTAGTGGAGAAGCAAAATAGGGTTACTAGTAGGCGAGCTAAAAGATTACGCGAATTTAAAATATTACAAGTTGAATGAAAAAATGAAGTTTTTTTTAGAAAAACACACTTTTGAAGAGGCCAATTTTGGCTTAATTTGGATCCAACGATTAATGGAGGATTTGCAGGGAATTAATTTGTCCGGTGGTCAAAAGGCTCGTGTTGCACTTGCACGTGCAGTTTATCAAAATCGAGATATATATTTGCTGGATGACCCTCTTTCCGCTGTTGATAGCCATGTGGGCAAACATATTTTTGAAGAGGTCTTCTTGCCTTTCACCAATTTTTCTTCCTATTCTAATAATACATGAAAATATAGCAAGAGGCTCAAAACTACCATCAGATTCGATCTGGACTGCACTAATTTTTCGCGTATTTTACATCTGCGTATGTTCCTTTGTGAAAACATCCCAGTAAAATTATCAACAAAGGATCTCCATACCGACGAGTTATTTGGTTCTCTTAGTATTCTTAACTTATATCAAAAATGAATCTAAAATTTTGGATTATCTTATCTGTTTCTTTTTGGAAGAAAAAGTATGATGTCTGAAAAATCATTTTATTTATTTTTGTTTAGATTATTGGCCCGAAAGGATTGCTGCAAAATAAAACGAGAATTTTGGTAACGAACAGTTTAACATATTTGGATGAAGTGGATATTGTTGCGTATATGCAAGGTAATCATTTGTAAATTTCGAAGCATTTTTGACAGAGATCATCGGATGAAGTCGAATTCACTTGAAGAAGCACACTCAAGCAAATCGCTTGAGCCTAAAATTGACCAGTTACATTGTTCGATATTTGAGAGTATAATTTCTCAAATTTTAGGACTTCTTAAGCAAACAAAGACCGGCAAGCGCGAAATTATGGAAGCATTTTGAGTAAAAAATTTCCGAACCTTTCAGACTTCGATGCTCGCTGTGATGTCGTGTTTCAGGGTTTTATTTAGATATTCTCAAAAGAGCTAGGGTTTTGACTTTTGCTTTTAACAGGGGCGCCAGACATAAAGTGTAGGAGCAAGTTTGGCTAAAGTCTGATCAAATTTCAGTAATAACAAATGGAACTGAGCTGTCGAAAGGCATGCTTAAAAATGACGAAGGAAGTATGACGAATAATTTTCAGATGGCAAATTGGCCGCAGTTGGGCGGTATAATGAGTTACTCGAAAAATCAGAAAGTTTCGCAAAATTCATTGAGGAATGCCAGACTGAGGGAGAGGGAGAATCGAAAGTCGGAGACGAAAACGATAATCCGCCGGAACCACAAACTAGTCCCAGCTCGCAGATTGAAGGTACATTTCACAGTTCTACGAAGACATTTGATAAAATTGTCTTGCTTTTTGCGGGTACCAAATCTGCCATGTTTCTGAATACCTAAACATCGTGGTGATAATTCAGAACAGTCTTCCGAATCCCGAAAAATTCATTCACTGGTTGTTGTTGTTGGCACTGTTTTATAGCGTAGGTTACTACTAAGCGCCTCCATCTCTCTATAGAATAGTGGAATTTTGAAATTTTGTCTTGCTTTTTTAATCTGCCACTGCTGACGGCAACATCAAGCTCGAGAAGTTGCTGTGACAGGAAATTGCCGGCGGTTGAGTAAACCAGGAAGAAGAGATGCGCTGGTTATGCAGTGAGAGTGAGAAGCAACAGATGGACAAAACGGATTATCGAATGATACCATGCAATGTTGAAAGAATACAGACATAAATTTGCGGCGCAATGGAAGGGTCTGCTTGAAAAGCTATGAAAAAAGAATTATGCAGATGAGAGAGACCCAAAACACAGAATAATGGAGAATTTGCTATCTGCATCAGTGGCGAGAAGAAACGCGACATTGAAACAAACAACTCATCACGGCAGGAGGAAATACTGAGGGGAAAAAGTTTAGTAAGGTTAGGTAATTCTTTAGCGCAATTGCGTGCAGTGTTTCCCACATCGGTTTTCCAGGCAGTCTTGGTACTCTTGGTTGTTTTATGCAAAATATCATAACTAATTTCAGAAAGTGGTGAAGTTTACGCAGATGATGGAACATTTGAAGAAGACATCTTAAGTGGTGAGTTCGTCCGGTAAGCTGCATAATTTTACTTTGGAGTTGGAATCTCTTTTGCACGTTTGTCCCTAAGATAAAATAAACGTATCCGCTTTCCCGAATTTGCGAGCTTTGCTCCTGGCCAGGCGCGGATTTAGAAATGAGAAATCAACTTTCATGCCCAATCGCATCCTGAAGTTGGATACATGAAAGATGTGGCCCCGCGAATAAGCGCTGTGCGAGAGGAGTCGCAACACAATCCCTCTTTGTGACGAGGTTGCATATTTGAAAAAAAACAACAGAATTGTAGGATCTGTTGTATTTATTTTGACTGCAAGAAGCCATCCTATTTGTTTTACAGCAAATATAAGAGTCAATAATTCGTTCAGAAGATAAGTCGAAGATTAGGATCGCCAGCAGGCTAACAATTAGCTGCATGAAAAAAAAAACAGCTAGAAAAAGTCGTCAGCGAAATATTTGAAGAACTATGCAGCGAAGTGCGCTTGATCGAATTTTGTAGAAAATGAGGTAGGTCTAAATTTCAGACAAATGTCAACGATATCAACGTTGGCTCGCGGCTCGATAAGTGAGATTCTTAGACGATCGAGAACGACATCACGCTCTCCGTCATTTAAAAGCGATGACGACTCAATTCTTGATGACAGTAAGACTGAAAAATCAGCGAAATTAATCGACACTGAAAAAACGGAGACTGGCAGGGTTTGTATTTTTCCGATTTATATGAAACAATCATCGGTGGAGAGCAATCAAGGGTGTTCAAGTGCGCGAAGTAATTACAGCACGATAGACTGCACAAATGAGATACCGGAATGTACAAGTACCAACTCCTCTTTGTCTTTATGAAATTTCCACGCTGAGTGTACGCAAGACAAAACTCATTACTTCTGAATTCGAGAACAAAATTTTCTTCATTCTATTTTGCGATTAAAATGGCCGCTTGCAGGTGAAGTTTGGTGTTTACATGGAATATATTCGATCGGCGACCATAATAACATCGTCTTTCTTCATCTTCTTTTTCGTCTGTTATTCCGCTTTTCAATTGCTCCGAGGTGTCTGGCTTTCTGCTTGGTAAGTGAAATTCAGGAAGACATTCCGTGCTTTTTTAAACGAAGAACGAATGGAAAAAAGTTAGTTTCCTAGAAAAAAAGCGCAACTGCGGCAAAATAAATTAATAGTAGACGGTGTGAAACGAGAGCGATCGCTTTCTTGTACCTTAGTGAAGAGAGTTGCTAAAATTGTCTTTTGGCAGCCACGAATTAAAAAGAGACAAAAATCACTTACAGAAGAGTGTAATCTTCACTTAAAATTGATTGAAGTTTGAGGAAATATTAGTAATGTGTGTAGCATTATTTTGTTCTTTTCCATCTGTAGAATCTAAGTTAAGAGCCGAAACACCTTCGCATTCAAATCCTGCAATAGCCAAAGCAGTATCAAACACCAACAGAAGCCATCTATGGCGAACGAATGAAAATTAATGAACAGTTTCTTTTCAATCGCTTACCAAGAATTGCAAATTGAATGGCGTTGTCTGATATTCTTACAAGTGGATAGGTTAATTAAAGTTGCGTTCAATCAGATCAAAATAAAAGAGAGCGAGTTGAGCAATACGATTGGAAATTTTGAAATAAAAAGTGGTTGTTATTTCAGGTCAAACGCAAATGCAGCTGTGTTGCAGGGCTCAAAAGAGGAACAGCCTACCTTGGGACTACGACTTGGTGTTTATGCTGCTTTCGGTTTTGCTGAAAGTGAATTTATCCTGCATCTTTTCATTCGTTTTCTACCAAAAAAAAATACTGAAAAATACCCTGTCTTATTTTGCATATTTTTTCGATGTCAGAAATGCAGATATCTTTTTGCAATCTAAAACGGCAAGAGAAATCTAATTAAAGTAGAATTTCTGCTGTTGAACTAGTAGTAGTGTTTCTGCGGTAAGGCGGCGATAATGCGTCTGGCAATTTTTCCAGTTTCTTTGTTCGATACTGCATCTCTAAGTAGTCAGCACCTATAAGAATTGTCAGCTTAACGGTTGGCTTGAAAAAAGCACTGAAGATTACTTAGTCCAGATCATACCAAGGTACCTTATCGACTTTACTTGGAGTACTAGGTTGTTTTAACTCGCAGCTAATTAGTGTTTTAGAATAATTCATAATAATCTTCCAAGTATCAGCTACATAGGAAATAGGGAGCTACGCAAGGGAAATAGTCACTTTCTTTATACCATTTTTCTTGAACTATTTAACTCACTCAATATACATCTTTTCACCAGGGAAGACAATACAACAGATTAAGCAATCAGCAACATTATAGTCGGGACCTTTATGAATGTGGGAAAACAAAGTACACTGGGAGTTATTGGGTTGAGGATGAATATATTTAGCACATTTTATCAAAGATAAGTCCCCCATCCAGCCGGAATTCATCTTTTGTTGTTTGAGATATCAGTTTCTTCGGTGCTATGGTATTTCTGGTGATAAGTGGACTGCGCGCATCCAGTAATCTTCACACACCACTGCTGCAAAATCTGTTGCGTTCACCGATGTCATTCTTCGACACCACTCCTGTCGGACGTATTCTCAACCGCCTTGGTAAGGTTCGTAACTGAAGCTGTTTGGAAATCCATTAGTATTGACACAACGTTTGCACCTTTCAACTAACTCATATTGTAACTGACTTAAGAGATAAATTTGGCCCCAGAAAAATTTGCTGGAAAACACAAATGCTTCTAAATTCAAGATAAGGCAGGAAACAGTTTTAGCTGGAGGATAAGTTAGGAAAACGGATCAAATACAAGTATATATATATATATATATATATAATTACATTTGAAACAGCTGCTAGTTCGGTCACTGATACATGTCCGGGACGTTTTCCAATAGTACAACAATCTTGCCATCGATTTCGATTCTGGCTTTTTCGCACTTGCAGCACGCAGTGTATATGAGTTAACTATACAAAACAAGCTGCGTAGTTTAGCTAGAGGGGGCACTATCAAATTAGTTCAGGTACAGGGGAAGTTGAAAAGTAGGTCCACTTACAGGAATGGCTTAGAATAGATCCAGTCACACGATAAACTAAAAAATATGTCCAGCTGCAGTAAAAGCCAAAAAGCGGGCTCAGCTACAACAAAAGCTTTTCGACGGTTTTCAGATACCAGGTTCTTTCCAGCTGGCACAAACTGCTATATGCACAGCCGAGCATCTGGATCCTTAGCTTCTCGGACTTTTTTCAGGATATTGATACGATCGACCAGTTACTTCCGCTGATTATTCGATATTTTGTTTATAGCTTGCAAAATGTCGTTGCGACACTAATCATAATCGTTGTTTCGACACCTGTTTTCGCTCTCGTTATTATACCACTTGCTGCTATTTATTATGCTTCACTAGTAAGTTTGATTCACAGCAAGTTCGATCCGGAACTGTAGCTTAATTTCAAAAATGCAGCATCTTTAGAGTACCAAACAATGCGGAACTTACAGTATGCATGTCCGGTGCCTTAACAAACGGTAAGCGAACTTTTGTCTTTTTTTTTCAAAGATAGCCTTGGGGGGCTCTTGCAGTCGTACTAGTTGAATGGTTTTTTCAGTGTGACTGTTTTTCAATAACACTGGCATATACTTAAAATGACGCAGATAAAATAACACTATAAACCGGTAACATATGAGCGATGATTCTGCAGAATTATTTTCATAGTTGTTTCTTTTCACCACTGATGCAACTGGCAGCTTCTCCATTCTTCTCTAATTTAGGCCACTCTTATGCACATAATTCTATAGAGCCGTCCATGTGCATCCTTTCACCGCACTGAAGATCTCTTCGGTGTTCATGAAACATTTCTTCCGTTCTTCTTGCAAATTCGGGGGTATTCTGTTCGATCAAACCGACTTCTTTTTGAACTCGAAATAGTCGTCAATCCCCCAATGAATGTGCAAAAAAAAAAAAAAAACGTGTATTTGCAGCATTTTTATGTTCCCACTTCTCGACAGCTGAAACGAATGGAGAGCGTTTATCGTTCACCCATATATCAGCATTTCTCGGAAACTATCCAGGGAGTGGCATGCGTTCGGGCCTTCGGAAAGGTTTTCATTTTTCCTCATTCAGTCTCAATTCTGGTGCATTGCTGTTCAGTGTTACGTGCGGTAAATCTTGATCTCAATATCAGTAATGCATTTTGATGGTCAACACGGGCAGCCTGATTGTTCATACGAGCGATATGAAGCAGCAATGCTAGAAGGAAAGCTTTGAAAAAAATTTTTTAAAATTCTAGGAAGAGGATTTTTGTCATCTATCGGATGGACATCTCGATCGTTTCACACGCTGCAAGTACTACAACATCATATCAAATCGTTGGCTAGCCGTAAGACTTGAGTTCATTGGAAACTGTGTGGTACTGTTTGCCGCACTGTTCGCTGTTCTATCGCAGTATTTGGGTACCACAATCAGTGCCGGAATTGCTGGACTCAGTATTACTTATGCATTGAACGTAAGTTGCTCTGGAAACATTCTTTGTTTCAGTTCTCCGAATGGTTCCTAGTTTATCAAGCGCTAGGTCACTTTTTATGTTTTCTTGTAAAACTGTTTACTTATATCCTAGAGAAGTTTACAGACATTTTGAACAGAATGATGAGAAATTTTCAAGCGATTAAAGAAGGATTCTCTGCAAATTATTTCTAAAACGCAACCTGTCGAGATTCCGTCTGTGTGGATATCTGTCCGAATTTTTTAACTCAACAACCAAAGAGTTTCAACTTTTTAGCTAAAATTTCTGGAGTGGTTTAGCAAACATTTGCTGGGCAGTACTATTCAAAACGGATAATTTTTCCGGCTACATGATATACGCACTGCTGTTTATCGAAATTCTTTTTATGGACGACTGGCGGGCATACGAGAATGGCAAGTAACGCTACTCTTGTGCTGAAGGTCAAGGATTCGGTTCCTCCAGTCGGGCAACGAGTCCTTCTACTACTAGTTTATTCATTTAGGTGG